AACACCCAAGGTTTTGGTCGCATCCCAAACAAGGCAACCCGCACTGCCTCTGCCACAACGAGTCAGACAAGCCGAGTAACAACACCGTATACCAGAAGCATTAATTTAATTTATAACAATGCTCTTAGCTCCAGCAAGTTTTACTTCCACAGTCGACTCCGAGCTAACCATTCATCCCAAGCACGAGTGATAGCCTCAGTAACTACAAAAAGCACTTTAAAGAAGCAATACTCACGTCCACTGCCACAGCAAGCTTTTTAGCATTACTTCCTCGCTACTGTTCTTGCAAAGTACAGTTCAAGGCACAACTCGAGCCGCAGAGGTTTCAGTGGCTGGCTTCCTGGGGAAGTCCCGAGGGCGGCGCCACCTCGCCTGCCTCGCACACTGACACACTGCTCTGCTCTGATACGAGAAGTAACTTCCCGAGACCATAAGCGCTTGCTGTAGGTCATTACAGAGGCGTTTTCCCAAATTGTAAGAAATGCAAATCACCCGAGCACCGGAAGCGGGATGCCCGCAAACGACGGGTGCGTGCCAAAGCTAATGCCAAGTGTAAAAAGAACTATTAACAGTCTTCCCAGCTCTGAGAAATGCTACCACGCCTTTGGCTGACTTCCGATGTGCTACACAGGGAATTTAAGGCATAGAAAACTAAACCTAACATGATTTGAGCCCGTTCCAGGCCTGCAACTCCCACCTAACCTGGCGCAAGTAAGAATCTCACTGGCTTCCACAGACACACCTCGGACGGGCCGAACACAACCTGCTCCTGCCCGGCTGCCGCCACGGCCACGCAACCCCACGGCGGGCAGGGGACTCTCAAATCCGACCTTCGCTGCCTCGCGTTCAGACCTCACCACACCTCAGCCCCCGCTGCGTGTCCCTGCCCGGAGCCCCCCACCCGCGTTACCTTCCGCCCGCCGCTCCTGCCCTGCCCGGCCCGCCTGGGCCGCCCGGGCCGCTCTGCCGGGGCCGCGCACAGCCCCGCCCCCGAGGCGGGCGGGAGGGCGAGGGAGCGGGCACCGCCCTCCGCCACAGCGGCGGCTCCCTGCGGGCCTGGCGGGGATTGCCGGCTGCTCCAGACCCCCAGCCTGAGCGCTCGGGGGGCGGTGGCATTCCCGCGGCATCCTCGTGGCCAGCCGGGCGCCCCGGCGAGCGGGTCCATGTGAGAGCGGGCAAGTCAGGAGCGTCGGGGGGCTGCGGAAAGACAGAATCGGTGTGCGTGGTTTTGCTGTTTTGGTTGGTTCTTCTTTAGCATATTCTAGGCTTTAGTTGTAATTGGTTTCCTACCGAGAATTTGTGCGGCGCAGAGGTCTTCGAGAGTGCAACGAGGACTCTATTGACTAATGCAAGCCCAGTAAGGGGAACAGAGAAATGCTGACACGGGCGTCTGTGGCGCGCTTCTCCAAAATAGTGAGGGAAGTTTGAAAAGCTAACACTCGTGTTTGAAAACAGTAGCAAGTTTCTAAGGAAGGAGCCCCAAGGGATGAGTCACAAATGTTCCAGGCAGGACTTGGTTTACTGTTTTCTCAGCGCTATGGTAAACTATGAAACATATTCTGGTCTCTCTTTCTCTGCCAATGTGTGAATCATAAATAAAAAGCGTGATTGTTAATCAACTTGTATAGTTTTGGACTAAGGGGGATATGTCACAGCCATCCTCTATTAAAGCACTTGAGAAATATGTGGGCAGATCTGCTTCCACAAGCAAAACAACATTTGTTTTAAACAGATTAATTACAGTCTTTGTAATAAAATCTTTGTTCAAAGTCTCAGGTTGATTCACTGGTAAAATTTTTAAATTATGTTTACACATTTACACCGTAAGAAGAAGGATGAGGCAAAAATAATCTCTTTGCCCACCTTTCTGTGCAAACATGAAAATGTTTTGCTGGATGGAATGAGTGATCCATCTGCTGTTGTCTCTGACAGTGTCTAATAGGTATCAAAAGTTTCAGAAATTTTGTTGAAGAGTTAAAAATAGTGAAGCTTTCCAGATCCTTGTATGCAGCACTGCTCTTCCTGCTGCTGAGGACGTTACAGCTCCATCTGAAGTCTTTGTCACTGCCCATGAAGAGTCAGTAGATAAGGACACTCAGCCTGATTTTATCTTTGCAGACTGGAGGTGAAAAGAGTGGGCTGTACTGCAGGAGCATTCTAGCTTGCAAGGTCTTGGACTCCGGTGTTGTGTTTCAAGGTGCAATAGGGAATTTGCTCTCTGAGGTTGCCAAATTAACACTGCACTTGGTGAAAACTAAGCCCAAAGACAAGTTTCCCATTAATGTGGTTTCAGAGAGAGATCCAAAGCTACGCTAAAATACTGTATGCTCTTAAGGTATTAGGACAAGGAAACCATATTTTTATGTCACAATATCATGAAATAGTGCACGTGTTATTAAAGAGAATGTTTTTGAGAGGTATGAGAAAGATGATGGAGAGCTGTTTTGGACAACTGTCTCCTCAAGACTTTCCATTTAATATTCATTTGTGTACTGTGATCTTTTATTTCTTTATTGGCTTATCTCCTGATGGCTATTAACAATCATGATGCTGTGACTAGAAGGTGGTGGAAAAAATGAGGAAATGTCAGAATATTTGAAAAGTTTCTTTTAAATTTCATGAAAATAACATTTTCCTCAAAAAAATTCTCAATAAATGTAGTAGTATCCTAGATTTCTGAATGTTTATATGCTGAAATGTGTGGCCTTGAAAAAAACCCAAACAACCCAAAATGAGGTTGGCATGATTCATCTTTCTTAAAGATTTTATATTAAACCCTTCAGAAGAATACATTTTTCCACCTTTCAGCGGTTTACATTTAGATTAGAGTTTAAGAATCCAGACAGAGACTTTCAAATTTTGTCTCCCTGACACAATGTGTTGTTTTGCTTTGGTTATTTCCATTGCACAAATAGAACAAACAAATCCAGTTAGACTTTTTTCCTAAAAGTGTGTTAAGAAAACATTTACGATACTCTGAGCAGATACACACATTTCAAAATATATGTATATTCTCATGTCCTAATTTTAAGTCAATAGATTTAGTGCATGCATGATTTTTTGAAAGCTTAAATTTCATTTAAATTGTGTTAAGAGCCCGTGTAGCAATGTGTTTCCATGATTTCCATAGGGGTTGACTTGGGAATTACATACATTTAAAATGGCAGCACTTCCTTCAAACATGAGACAGCTTGAGGCTACATCGCAATAGGAAGCTGAACTGTAGTTTGCTGCCCTTAAGGTGATGAATATTAACCTAAGGATTAGTCTGGTATTTTGCAGAGCTTGAAAGAGGTTATCTGTTAACTGGATTCAAAATATTCTACATGTATTTGAGAACTTGAAGCCACTGTAACTGAAATGCTGAAATGAATTTTACAAATTATAATCTAAGTCTACTGACTTTTTTCCCTTTGCTCTAGCTTTCCTTTACCTATATCAATTATTTTGTCAAGTATGTTTTGTCTTTCCATTAATTTTGGAGATCTAGTGGACAAATAAAAAATATAACTGTAATGCCATACATTATGTTTATGCATTTATTATTTGTTTCTGACACGGTTTTGAAAAATTATACTGAAAGGATTGCTGTCTTAAGAAGTGCAATTTTGTAATACTTTAACACAATTTTGTACTGAAGTCAAAGACCGCTAATGTTTCCAAACTTCATGACTTCAAAATTGCAGTGCTATATTCTTTGGGTGGCTATGGGAACGAACTTAAAGCTCCAGCAGTACCTCCCGTGGGTTCAGCAGAAGCAGAGCAGAGTAATGAACACCTGTCTGCCCAGGCTAGGCAAAGTATTTAGGGCATCCCTGAAGAGTCGGTGCACACTTTTTAAAAGCAGCCTCCAGCTGCGCCCTGCCCCACCCAGGAGCTGTACCTGCTCCCTTAGAGCATTCCTAACTTATGAAATTATTTATCATATGTTGGACTCCAAGAAAAATCGTGGACAGTTCCGCGTGACAAAATGCAACACGTAGAGCTGCAGATTAAGCATTACAATTCACAGAGCTTTATACTTTTTATTTGAAGCAGCAACAACGAACATGCTCCAGGGCTCCAGAAGCCCCTTTTGATGCTATTCGGCACCGGGTGCCCTTGCGTGTGGCGGAGCAGGCAGGCTCAGCGGCTGAGATCCGCCCGGGGTAGTTGCCCTCTACAGAGCCCAGGGACTGCCCTCTGCCCCGGAGCGGGAGCTGTTCGCCCCTTAAACCCACATACAGAGCACCTGTAGCCAGCGGGTGTGGGTGAAGGTGGCTTGGTTTGGCGTTCAGAATCACAGAACATTCAGAGTTGGAAGAGACCCACAAGGATCGTGTCCGGCTCCCGCCCCTGCACAGGACACCCCAAGAGTCACACCACGTGCCCGAGAGTATCACCCAAACGCGTCTGGAACTCTGGAAGGCTTGGTGCTCTGACCACTTCCCTGGGGAGCCTGTTCCAGTGAAGAACCTTTTTTCTAATATCCAACCTAAACTTCGCCTGACACAATTTCAGGCCATTCCCTCAGGTCCTGTCACTGGTCACCAGAGAGGAGAGATCAGTGTCTGCCCCTCCTCTTCCCCTCGTGAGGGAGTTGTAGACTGCGATGAGGTCTCCCTTCACTCTCCTCCGGGCTGAGCAGGCTCAGTCACTCCTCGTATGGCTCCTTGGGTTCGAACCCGGCGGGAAGGAGGGAGGGTCTGAGGGGCCGCTGACGGAGCTGGGCGGCTGCCCAGTTCAGCCGTTACCGCCGCCCCCCTTTGAACTTCCCGCCCGCCGCCCGCGGCCGCGCTGCGCGTTCGCCGCCGCACTTTCCAGACTCTGCGGGCGGCGGAGGCGCTGGATGGCTGCGGCCTCTCTGCGTCCCCTCTCGGGCTGGTGTTGAGGGGGGCCGCTGCCCGGTCCGCCGCACTCCCTGGGGTCCGCTCTGGGCTAGTGCCGCCGCGCGGCGGAGGCGAATCTGCCGAGCGTTCCGCCGCGTAGCGCGCTTTGGGCGGTTGTCAGCGAGAAGCAAGATGGCGCCGCCGGCGGCGGAGGAGGACACGGAGCGGCGGGACCTGCTGTGTGCAGACGCTGCGAGAGCAGCGGGTGCTCAATAAGATTAAGGTTGGGGAAGGAGAGCTTCCCGCCAGCGGGAGGAGCGCTGGCTGGCGCCGGCGGTGGCTTGCGTCCCTGCGGAGTGTTGGGGGGGCTGAGGCTTCCCGGGCTTCGTCCCTTCTCGCTCCCGCTTCCAGCCGGTGTTCCCGGCTGGGGCGCTCCCTCGGCGTCGCGGCCTGGCGGTGGCGCTTGCTTTCCCCGTGGTGCTCCCTGGCCATTCGTGGTGGAGCTGGTACGAGGGCCCCGGGCCTGACCGCCGCTCGGGCTGTGCCCCGCGGGAATGCGGGATCCCCCGGGCGGGCAGAGGGACGGGAGCGCGGGGAGCCCGCCCCCGCCTGTGCGGGTTTGCCCTCGTAGGGACCGTGTGGCCTCAAGAGCCCCCTTGCTGCCGCTAAACTTGGGGCTGGGAGCATTCTGCTGCCGGGTGGTGCGGGACGGGGTGGATAGAGTTTATCCCTGCTTCGATACGAAAAGCCCCTATTGAAAATTTCAAGCGAGTTACTGTGGGTCGCTATTTAAACACTTTCTCTTGAGTGTGGGTTGCTTGAACTGTGCCTTGAAGGCTTGCTAAATCTGGAAACTCTCTGGAGATCCTACCTGCCTACAACGAACAAATAATGCCATGCTAAGAAAATATACGGAACATAGTGGAGTGTACACTACTTCCAAGTCTATGGTGTAGCCTGAACTTGTGTCCGAAAGGGTATGAAAATGGTTTCCATTACAAGCTTCCATGAATAACTAGTGTGTATAGTAGACAGCAATATAGGTAAGGAAGCCTAAAAACAGATGGGTTCCCTTCCATGCTAAAGGAGAGATGAAGATTTCACATCAAGGACAGTGGTGTTTGTCCACAGTGCTGTGTTTTAAGCCTTCAGAGGTGGATGGTCATTGCTGATACTTGAGGAACAGTTCAATAATTAAAATGGTTAATGGGCGTGAGAGCATATTTGTGCGTGTGCTTTGAAGTCTCCCGCATTTTGGACTAGTCCTACTTTTCAACAAAAATATTAAAAACAGTATTGTTCTTCCCTTTCAAATGGAGGATCTTATTTAAACTTCCAAAGTAGATGAAGATTCTAGCTCATCTAACTGCAATTAGACTAGGGAGACCTTTTTCTAACTAATGTCATATAGGCCTTTTGGGCCACCTGTTAACCACTCACATAGTGTTAAACAATGAAAGTATGGTGGTAATAAAATTGTAATTAAAAAAAGAATTGCAAGGCAATTGGGTCACATTGAGCCCCTGAGCTGTCGTTTCTTAATTCCTGCCTTTGTGTAACGTGTAAATTATTGTACTACGCTTGCCAGTTCATTGAGTTTTGCGTAAATATATTTATTGTAGTTCACTATTCTATAATGCCAAAAGTGTGCGGCATACAATATACTGAAAGGTATCCTTAAGGCAAACTAGCAAATGACTTAGAAAAATACAAGTCCGAATTATGCCTTTTTTTATTACTAGGAGTTACTGTTTAATAACTGGTATGCTTATGGCTAAGGCTGTTGATTGGAGGAATTCATAGTGGTTTTTTTCTTAGCTGTAAACCTTAACAGGCATGCAAGTTTGATGACTGTGTTAATTGATAGCGTTAATGACTTACAGAATTTGTTCTACTAGTATCTGACAAAAAGCCCATTGCTGGAAGAATTAAGGTTGAACAAGTCTTCTAAATTGTCGTCTTCTAATTGAAATTAGATTATACAATCCATTAAAAAAATTGCAGGCATTCTTTCATTAAAATAAATTAAACAAAATTGTGATCAATACTGTTTATCTATTGTGTGTTAATACTCTTTATTATGTGGTGAACCGAATGTTTACATGTTATCAAAACAATCTTTTTTTTTATACTTCAAAATGCGTATTGACCATTTGGGGGGGGAGGGATTTATTGAAGTAGCTATATTAAAGAGAAAAATGTGGCCAGTGGTATGCATTGGTATGAAGCACTGTAGGTAATTACAGCTCTGGAAGGACTAGAATTTAAGGGGAATTATTTCGAGGGATGGAATGTATCAGGCAGTCAGGTAATACGTTTTATAGCGTAATGACTGAGTAATTTTTAGAAAGAAACTTATTGTGATACCTTTGTTCTCTAATAAAGCATGATTTTATAATGGATTCCAGTTTATTAGTTTATTCTTATTTTGAGATTAATTTCTGGTGAGCATTGGTGTTGATGTAAATTATTTACCTGAAAAAAATGTTACTTGTACAACATTTTAAAAATATGTTTTGGATTTTTGAATTTACATTAGAGTTTGAGCACTAGAGTACTTAATGAAGTAATATTGTGAGAACTGGAAGATGTATAAATGTATTTGCCACTTGCAGTTAAGAATTTCCTGTATTCTCTAAGATGCAATATGTGTGTGTATATATATATGAAAATATATATATTGTTTGTTAATCATTGGAATTAGTCTGATGGATAAGACAGCTTTCTAATGAATTCTGTAAACATACAGAATATAACTGTGGATATTTGGATATTTGTACTTTAGTGAAAATTATAATGATTCTATGTGATAGTGTACAAATAGGAGTGTTGTGTCTTGAAGAGAATGTGATCTTTCTCCTAGGGATGCTGTCATCATCAGAGCAAGAGGAGCCATTATGCTTTTTACTGTGTTTCTTTGTTAGCTTATTTTGGTTCGGTTTGTATCGTTCAATTTCTTTTGTTTTGCAAAAATTAAGTTTATATTACCTGAATTTTGCATCTTCTCTGGAACTTGCTGTTGTTACAGATGTGAGGAAGGTTAGAATCACAAATCTCATATGCCTAGTAAAGCTTTTGGCCTGCTGATACTGCTAATTTCTTACTAATTTGCTTCAAAACATGGACAGCTGAGGTACTGGAAAATAATTTGATGCTAGATAAGATAAAAGTACTATTTTTTAAAATGAGCTTTTAACTGCATACATATAAGTCAGTTAAAATTGTCCTATTTGCTTTTGTATCTTCATTCTATTTATCATAATGACCAGTGCTTTTAAATGTCTTAGAATTACAAGCTGTCATGATGAACATGCTTTACACTACATTGTCATCTTTCTGCATGTTGTGATTGGTTGCTTGTTTTAAAGTTATTCATACCAGAGAGTCAACTCATTTCTTGTAATCAAGGAGAATCATTAATTTTTTTTTAAATATAACATCTATTTCTTTTTAGTTTTATAAGTTAAGTAAAATATAACCGTCTATAATTATTTCAGGTAAACTAACTGAAATTCAACATCTAAATGTCAGTATGGTCCTCATAATATCATGCGTGTATCCTGCTTTGGGAATATGAGAACGGGAACTTTTTGTGACATGCACCTGATAAATGTAGCTGTGGATATTTAGAGTTTATGATTTCAAGTGTTTACTACTTCCTTTGTGTTATGAATTCTTCCTTTTTCCGGCATTCGTCTTTACAATTACATTGCCAGCAAGTTTAACTTTCTTAACCGATTTAGGCTGCTGACAAAAAATGGTCATGCAAACTGCTTGACTGGTCTTGTTCTGTCGCAGATGTGGTCCTGCACTTCACTCATAAGAGAGAAGCAACATATACTTTACTGATATAAAGTATTAAGTTAGCAAAGTTCAGTGGTAAATGTGACGGTGGTTTAGCAAGATGAGATGGCAAATTACAGTTGATTATTTTCTGCGTAGAGGACAGGGTCAGACAAAACTGTCAGGGAGATGCTCCCATTGAGTCGTGAGGTTCAGAAAGGTCTTTATAAATTCCTCTGAGTGGAGTCTAGGTACAATGTGATTCCACTGCTAGTCCCAGACTCGGTCACCAGTTTATGTCTAAAGGATTATGTATGCACAATCAGTCCTTTATGTCACTTAGCCAAGATTTCAAAATTTAACATGTGGTGGGGAGAGCACACCGCCTTGTGCTCAAGGATGAGAACCTCACAGATACTGCAGATGGAGAGGGACAGGGTGGATACTGAGTAATATTCATAGTGAAGTTGCTGATTATGGTTTGGCACCAGCTTTGGATTTGTAATACATATCTGGTATGTATCAGACTGGTGCAGGCTTTTTAGCCTGATGCACACAGGGTTTTAGCCTGGAGTGATCAGCAGAGGTTAAACAGCTTCGTGTTCTGCCATTGCTCTTTCCAGAGCAGTGCATCTGCTCTGTATCTACCAAGGTATATAACAGCCATTTCGGAGTTAGGAAGTGGAGGTGCTGAAAGTTGTGCAGGAAGCTACCCATGTGCTGCTCATTTTTATATATGCAAGAGATGTTTTGGAGTCTGCAAGCAAGAGGTAGTTAGAGGCTACAGGTCATCTTTCATTCCTGGATGGTCTCTAATCTTTTTACTTCTCGTCCAGTATCTGCTATTTAAGTTGCTGTGGATGGCTTTTATAAGCATACTAAATCAGACTAATAACCTTGTTAAGGTGGGTGCTTGTTGTCTTCCTATTAAGAGCATATTTCCAAATTGGATTGGCATTTTTGAGATGTCACCTCAAAAGCGTGTTTGGGGAGCTCTTGAGATACTAAGAACTGTTTTCCCTTGTTCCAGGGAACTGTGGGTTGAGGGAGCTGTTTTCCTGAACAGTACTTAGGATACCTGCAAAAGGCTCTGTATTTAAAATGGGGTAAACTTGTCCAGGTTCTGAAGAGGGATACTGTAATTCAGTGCAGAAAAGATACTTTCTTTCATGGACTACAAGCTTCTGATTTATAGTAAACAGCAATCAGTAAAAAGCAGTGTTGTCTGACGAGCTGTAAATACCCAGGAGGAAAAGGGGAAACATTCTTTTGTTTCAAAACACTGACCCATACATTTCTCCAATACAGACAGTAGTTGTCATATACAATGTTAGCCTGCCTCATTTTAGCTAAGTTCAGTGAAATCAAATTGCTGTCTCATTGACATGAGCTCTTGCCTGATAAAACTACTTAGAACGGGCATCTTCAGGGGATGAGAAAGAAGTCTGTAGGCTTGATGGATGGTAGACACTGCCACCTACCTTACTCATCAACATCTGTCTTGGTTGACATAACCCTGTTTTATTGAAGCCTTAGGAAGGATATGGGTGGAGAATTTGATTATTAAGCTTTACTCTGCTTTACTACTAGACTGTGAATAAAATTGTTCGCGATGTGTTTGGATTATGTTGAAAACTGCTATCACAATGAGGCAGTGTGGAATAGGGACATGTGGGAAACGTGTTACAATCTGTTACAATGTGTTATAATCTGCAAGAGCAGATTGTAACAATGTATGGAACGCAGTTTGGCTTGGTGCGGAAGGAAACCAGAGCAAAGACAAATACAAACCATTCACACTTGCTAAAAACAAGGAGTGTGAGAAGAATGATGTAAATGGATTAATCTGTGCAGTTATATAAGCCTTATATCTGCTGGTGGGAGAAAATTGCTATGGCCATACCTGATCTCAGTCTCTGGTGTTCAAATTCTCTGTGACTGGTCTCAAATCTTGAAAAACCTATATGACATTGTCCATCCTACTGGTTATTATGATTCATCTTATATTAGGGTGATTATTCCTCTGTCCTCAGCTTTTTTATTATATTGCTTTCTACTTCCTTCTGCATGAACTTGAGAATTTTTGCCTTAATCTCGCACAGATTCTAGTGTATGGTTCCATGTCTAAATTTATCGAGATGATATTTTGAGAATATCTTGCTATGATCTGAGCAGTACCCACCTCAAAGGATGAACATCAGTGTGTTGTAGTGGTGCAAATCTTCCTTCTGGAGATAGTGCAGGAATGTGTAACTTCAAGCATACTGTGATGCTTGCAGGATTGAAGGGTCGATTGAGGGGCTGCATATCTGTGGAAAGGCTTTAGGGGGATGTTCTGGATAATGCAGGTAAGAAAAAGGGAGATGTCATAAATACTGATGGCATTATCTTCTAGTGATGAGCTCCTGACCTTAAGGTTATTAATTGGGCACTAAAGTAAATAAGGGTGAACCGGCTATTAGTGGGGAATGGCAACATCTGGGAGAACCTGACGCTGTGTCATTAAATAAATAAGAAGAAAAGCACCTCAATTTGTAATTAAAAGCCACTGGATTGGACCTAAAGGAGTGGAGCAGGCAAACAATCCTAGTTATGTGAAAAAAAAAAAAGACAGTTGTGATATTGTTCCAAAATCTCAAACGGGTCAGACTCTGTATCAACTGATGTATTGGCAACTACTTTCAGACAACTTTGTTATAGAGTCCCATGATCCAGACCCTTAAGGGGGTTTACCCCTATCCACATGTAATGGCTGGTGTGTTTTATTTTGAACAGCTGTAGTAGCCAGTCAGGAATTCTTTGTTATTTTTATTGTCTTCTTATGTTAGTATATTTGGTTTCTGTGGCATAAGTGACAAAGAAAGCCTCACAAGCATGTTAAGTTTATCATAGTGACATAGAACTAAATAAACAAGTTTTTAGCTGTTGGTGGGAAAGTTATATGTAAACTGATTTTGTAAGAATAATATTTAAAGGAATGCAGTGTAAGAGGTTTTGCTGTTTGAAAAGGTGTTGAAAGAGGGTTTTGCTTAAAAAGGAAGTGTTTGTTTTTCCCATGAAAGGATTTTTTTTTTTTGTTGGTGGGACAGAGCAGTTACAGGGTAATCCGTGTTTAGTTATCTCTTGTAATATACATGAGAAAGTCCAGACACTCTTCATACTGTTTTTATTCTTAGTTATGGAAATAGATCTTTCTTTAAAACCCTGATTTCTTTTTTGCTCTTGAGAAAACTTTCATACACTGTCTTTTATAGTTTATTACTGCAATGTTGTCTAATGACTCAGTTAATCAAAATGTCAGATTAAGAGTTGATTAAGGTGGCAGACTACTTCATAAAATGTATGTTATCCATTTGATGCATTCAGTGAAAGAAGTAGGGAAACTGTAGTACTTACAAAAATTAAGTATGCAAGGTTTACACTTAAATATTCAAAGTAGTCCGTAGAAGAATTCTGATTACTGATTGTAATATATTTAGAATTAGGTAAAACGTTACTACAGGAGTGTTTGAATGACTGAGATGCTCTTTTCCTTGAGAAATTCTGGTTTTTGCACATAATCTGACAAGAAATAATAGGAATTTGTATATCTTAATGTTAACTTTTTAAATGGGCTATTATAAGTTATTTGTTCATGTTTCCTGAATGAATTGTAGATGAAGGATAGGTGTTTCAGAGCTACCTGAAACAACTGGATCTTTAACTTTTGGAAGATATAATAGGAGATAATGTAGGTGCTTTGGAATCTTTTTATGTACAAAGAAGTAATTTAGGAAGTCTTGTATCAAATTCTGCTTCCCTCTCCATGCTCCTTCCTCCCGGCTTGTTCTCAGACTGGAAACTATTATTTCTCTGCCTCAAGTCACATTGCCTGTAATCTTATGTGTTTTGATTGTGCTGATGTAGATTACAGTTCATGCCAAGTTGCTTGAGGAGAAACAAATAGCTGTTAAGCTACTTGCTAGCTCTTTGCATTCTATTTGCATAGGGAAAACAGTGCTTATAGAAATGCTATTTGTTTTGTTTTTTACCTGGCAGGCAGAGTTACGAGCGGCTGTGTTTTTGGCATTAGAAGAACAAGAGAAAGTAGAGGTAAGAGAACCTTAAAAAATAATTCAGAAAAAAACATCCTGGTAGTTCTTCATGTAGAATTAAATATAATTGCTTTAATACTTTCTATTTGTGAAATATAAGAAGATAAAAATATGTATTTCTGCATAAGAGCATGATGCATAAAGAACACAAAACAGGATTGTCAGGGTGTTTCCTGATGTTTTTAAATAGCCTTTTGAAATCGTACTTTTAAGTGACAGTGTCTGCTGGGTTTTTATTGCTTCTGTCCAATTGACCAGAATAACTAAATGTATTCTCTATCAAATACTTATTTTAAAAAAGATATCTAGTTGACTGATCAAGATTTTCTCAAATCAGAATAATGTCTTTTGAAATTGAAAATATTATAGTGGGGGTTTTTGACAAGTGTATTGTGAAAGCAATGCAGTAAAATGCCAATACTTTTGGTATTTGCCATAAGGATGTTGTAGGCTTGCTTCAGGATAATTTGCTTTAATACTTAAGGGTGAATTCTTAATTAGCAGATGGACTATGTATTGATACTTTGACAATATAATAATATTAAGGGAATGAGATACTATCAAGATTACATAGCAATACTGCTGTGGTATACAGACACTGGTCTTGTGACCTCTTCTGCTGCCGACATTGCTCCGTTTCCTGTGTCTTTTCATTTTCTAGAACTGGAGAGTAGAAAGTACTGTATGTCCATCCTCTGTTTCAAAAAGAGAGGAATGGAAAACTGTTCTATTCCTCCTCTACTGGTTAGATGGTTGTGCTCTTTCTGCAAAATTGCTTAACTGAAACAGACAGTATTGTGACATTAGTAAGGAGGAGAAGTAGTTATTCTATGATATGAGATTCCATATTCCAGAAATTTAGTGTAAAATTGTGGAAGGAGACATGATGGAAGAGTGATATAGGAGAACAGAACCATCTCTTATGGGAAGCTTCAGCATATTATGGAGTGCCCAGAGAACAACCTCCCATACTATCTGGAGAATAATAGCACTGAAGAGAAATTTGCTGCAGTAGATTTCTGCTCACCATTTCTCCAAAAGCTTATCATGATATTTTAAATCTACACTGTAGACACTGGAAGTATCTTAATACTTACCACTCCTCTGAATTCCTGAATATTAAGCAAGATAGATTTCCTTTTTTTCAGGCAGCACTTTCTTGTGTGTGTATGTTAGTATTTACAACTATAGTAATAAATACATATAGCAAATCCTTTTCTTACCCAGGACATTTTGATATGTCAAGAATGGCATTTAGAATTTGTTTTGAAAAATCCCTGTTTTGACAAACCAAGCATAGCACATTGATTTATTTCAGTTTAAAAATTAAAGTTGAAGAGGGCAAATCTAACAAGGGAGAAAAAAACATTTTCATAATATCTTTGAAGATCTTTTAATTAATAGAAGATTAGTATTCATTTGTGCACTAGTTATTAGCATGGTCCACACTGTCTAGAAGATCTGTAAATTTCCATTTTTTAAAAGGCTGGACTGAGTTTTTTTAAACGAACTTCACACTATATTAGAGGAGCAACGTGGGAAGTTAACTGCTTACCTTACCTTTTTAATCAGTAAGTAAATAAAAATCAGTATGCTAATAACAATTTTGGTGAAATTATCTTAGCTCTGAGACAGATTTAATTTTCTAAATAAATATTCTTTTACATGTAGGTAGTCGAAATAATACACAGGTAGATTTTGAAGAAGTGAATTACATACGTGAGGCATCATTGTGGAACAGAGTACAACAAAACATTATCTTGCTGTGGTTTTCAATTTCTTTCTAGCACAAAGATGATGTTAATTACTGTTTGGTTTTTGCTTTTCGACAGAACAAAACACCTCTGGTAAATGAAAGCTTGAAAACTTTTTTAGGTACAAAAGATGGTAAGTTCTTTTTTTAGTATATACTTGTCAAAATAATAAAAATAGGAAACAAAATATTAAATCCTTGAATCTTATTAACAGTACAGTCATCATGACATACTTTTATTCCTTTCAGATGTCATAATTACCATTCATTCAGAATAGAATTCAATCTATAATATTTGAACTTAATAGTGCTGAAATTGTATTTTTAACTAAGATGATTAATGCATTTAAATTAATATTTTATGATAACCGATGGTTTTGCTAACTCTGAGACATTCTAGACCAATAGAAACAGTAACCAGTGAAAACTGACTGTAGAGGTGCAGGAGTGAATAAACACATAGGAGAAATGTCAAAATGATGTTTTTTAAACAGCTGAATAGTTTAAAAAAAATCTTACACATGAATTTTTTAGGCAATCTCTATGCTCTTGAAGTATTATTGACTTAAATGATTTTGATGTAGTTGCTGGGTTAGATAATTTTGAGTTGGTATACAAATTTGCTATGTGGTACTAGTTTGCTGAATGTCTAAATTATGTTATACTGAAACCATATTAATGTTAAATCTTTGAAGTAAGAATTCTATCTGGTGTATTTTTACTCTTATTTCCTTTTTAGGTCGCTTGGTAGCAGGTCTTGTGGCGGAATTTCTGCGGTTTTTCAATCTTGATTTTACATTGGCTGTTTTTCAGCCTGAATCAAGCACAGTAAGATGTACTGGTTTTATTTGTATGCTATGCTGACTGTTTGGACTGCATGGCAATAAATAGAAAAACTGTAGCAGATTTATTTAAGCCACTTGCTTCTTTTTATAAGAAATAATTTTTTTTATGTTTAGTCTGTAAAAGTTACTTATTGTCATGAAGACACTTTTTTCAGAAACGTGTGCTAATATGAGTATTTCCCTTTATTAAGAATCAATGCTTGATAATTATGAATTACCAAGTTAACAATTTTCGTGGAATCATATAATAGCGTATGCAACAGAACATTCCTGCAACATTTTTTGCCACTAACTTTACTACGTCATAATAATAAGTTAGTATTGTTGCATGAAAATTAAAATAATGTCAGTAATGTACTCTAAGAGAAATTTCAGTGAAACAAAGGACTTTGTGCAGATATGCTTGACAAAAAGTATAGTTCAGTTGTGAGGAACCACAATGCTAATGACAGATTCTTGCATATTTAAAACAACTTTGCATGATCTGTGACAAGTTCAGGTATAGATCAGAAGTAAATTATGCAATAGGTGGTATCTAAAAAGATGTGTAGATGTGGCACTTAGGGATATGGTTTAGTGGTGGACCTGATGATCTTAAGGGTCTTTCCCAACCTAAGTGATTCTATGATTTTATTGCTTTAGTCCACATGCAACAGGAAGTCTTAAATAATCAGTGTTAGTCAAAATATAAGCTGTGTTAAATAAGACCAAAAAGCTTTTTTTATATTACAATATATTTTGTTTTCTGACAGTTATTTCTGTGTTGTGATTCTTTTTTTAATTCTCCTTCAGCTAAATGGCCTTGATGGTCGAGAAAACTTAGCTCGAGATTTGGGAATTACAGAAGCAGAAGGTACTGTGGGTGGTCCCCTGTTGTTGGAGGTTGTTAGGAAGTGTCAGCAGAAAAAGATTTCAGGCAGTGGAGAAGTAAGTAGTATTAACGTGTAATTTCTTTCTTTATTTATTAATTTTCATTTCAATGATGAAAAACTGAAATTAAGAACACCTGGCTATTGTTATATTACAGTGTTTCAGGTTGTTACTATATTATGCCTTCAACTTAACTTATCAGAGAGATAAGAGATAAACATTATGACGATTCTGCTACTTTTAATGCCACCCTAGTACTCTTTACTAATATTCTGCTAAAACATAGTAGCGCAGAGTGGAGCCAGGTGGGTATCAGTTTCTTCTCCTCCGCAACGAGCTGTAGGACAAGAGGGCACAGTCTTCAGCTGCTCCAGGGGAGGTTTAAGTTAGACATTAGGAAGAAGTTCTTTACAGAGAGAGTGATTGGACATTGGAATGGGCTGCCCAGGGAGGTTGTGGAGTCACCTGGAGGTATTTAAGAAGAGACTGGATGTGGCACTTGGTGCCATGGTCTAGTAGACAAGGTGACGTTGGGTCAAAAGTTGGACTTGATCTCAGAGGTCTTTTACAACCTAGTTGATTCTGTAATTCTGTGATTCAGATAAATGACACAAAACACTGTGTCACTTATTTTCTAGTTGCTAGTGTGATTTGATAACACTTCTATCGGTACCTATTTTCTTTGGCATACTTTTAATTTTAATATGACCTGAAAAGCCTACAAGGGGTTTTGTTAAAAACTTTGAAGCTCTTCTGAAAAATATGTATTTAAAACTAAATATATCAAAGTATTGAACTACATGAAGGCAATGACAATTAATATTGTTAATTAAATTAATGAAATCCAACCAATAGCATTTGATTGTGACTCAGAACGAAGTTCTTTACACTCAAGATGCATTCAGTACCCCAATGAAAGCTTAAATTCAGAAGTAGTTGTCATTGAGTTCTTGATATAGCAATTTTCTGTCACGTGAAAGGGGCGTTTCCTCAAGCCCTTGGTGTTTGATCAGTCTGTCAGCACCCCAGGAAAGCTGATACCCTTGTGCCCCACCAGTCTGTCATTGTCCCATTATCGGGGCTCCACTGAACAGTGCTGCTGGATCAGAGGGCGGTTTGACTGACTCGTTCAGAGACAATACCAACAGTGTATTGGAGTCAAATCCTTTTTTACAATTTGGAGACACTCTCTGGGATCTCCTCACTCTTAGTCAAATATGTTATCTGCTGCTGGAGACTGATAGCACCCTTGAAGGACTCGTGCTAAACAGTTTGTGGAATAACACACTTTATTAATAAAAACACCAATATTAGAAAGTTGTGACAGGTTAATGTTGTAAGATTGCTCATGTTAACAAGTGACTGCAAAAACATATTTAAAGCATGACACCAACAAGCTCTAATCACCAACGAAAGCTAGCTCAAAATAATCACTTAGCACCCGTAGAATATGGTTCTTACCCAGTGGGGGAGAACACAGGTTCAGCTCATCAACTGATCCCAGAAGTTATGGTGGAGTCTTCCCTAACTTCTCCCCATTCTTAGTTTACTTTTATACTATTACTTTACATTTAGGTGGAGCTTGAGTGACTCTAGTCATACACCCTTTTGTTACTGATGGGTGTAAGATTTTCTCTCTCGCTCTTTAACTTATAGTCAGTAAAATATGGAGCGCATGCTCAGTGAGGGGTGGTTGTACCTTGGAGGAGGGTGACTTTTAGATGGACTTAGTATTACAATTAGATTATAATGAACCAAGTTCATCCAAGGAGAGAGATTTTGCCACAGTTGCTGCTTCAGCAGGAAGATGACATCTCGTCTCTCCCTTGGTTGACAGCTGCTATGTGATTTACCGTCTACATGGTACCATTGAGTTCCCCTCCCTACAAAGGTTACAACAGAGCTTGACCACAGTATATCCACTCTTCTGCACCCTCTGTTTCATCCCTCTTAGCATGCATTTGGGGTTGCAGGCTGTGTTGTGTGGGCAATCATTGTGCAATGTATTTCGTGCATGCCAACTGTGTTTCACCCTATAATTTCCATTCTGTTGTAACTTCTGTTAGAATGTGAACATAACTTCCCAGTTTTCTCTTATTTTACACCAGGTCATCTTCCCACAGACAATGTCACAGTTTGCATACTGTGCAAGTGAGGATGGTAGCCTTGTTTCTTGTTGGATGGAATTATGACAAAATTAAATATATTTTTTAATAAGTGTTTATGTGAAATTTTAGGTGGCTCCAGCTCTAAGTGATAGCCAGTGCCCCACATCAAAATCATCTGATGGAAGGTCAAGTACACGTTCTATACCAAATAAGGTAGGATTGTTTATATATAATGAAAAGCTTCATGATATACATGAGAGGTAAAAGAGAGAACTCCTATGAAACTGCAGATATGATGGCATTCACTTAAATCATCTGCAATTTGAAAGTATTTATTTCACTTTAGCAAAACTTTTATATATGAATTCAAGCAAAGACCAACTGTTGTACTTGCAGGTTCTCAGATGACATAGTAGCAGCTTGCTGCCTCGGGGCCCAGAACAGAGAAGTAGCTGTAGCTTCCCCTTTATTCTAGTCAGGCTATCATTAAGCTCTTAATTTTCAACAACAATTCTGTTCCTCTAGGATATGAAATTAAAATATTGTTGTTGCTACCACTTATGGGTTTGAGTATTTCTTCTTGCCCTAGAAGACCTGAGATGCTGCCAACAATTGAATGTGATTCTGTGACTGAGATAAAATAGCCTTGGTATGGAAAAGACCTACCAAGGTAATTTTAACTCTCATGGCCTATAATTTGAAAATTTTACTTCAGTCTTCTGAATGAAAGTTGATGACTGATAAAGAAACACTTGGGACATCACAACCTACATACCTGTTGTGTATCTGCATTAAACAATACTGTTGGTTTTGTTTCAAAACTGTACTGTTATTAGTGTGTAAAAAAGAAGTTAATGTAATAAATCTTTTTACTGGTTTAATTTTAATAAGTCTAGGAGAAGATAAAATAGCAGTATTCCTTGCTAGGTAGGAAAGTACTGTGTCTGTAGATTTCTTTATTTGATAAGCAAGATCTTTTAAAATTGTTTGCTTTTATAGTAGGAGTGATCTAGATAGCATAGCAGTGCACAGGATGGAGCAGAAGTTTTCTATGGCAGCAACATTAAACACTTTCTAAAGTGATAAAACAATTTTTTTCTCCCGTGTGATTCTTGATGATACTAATAAATTTATTAGTACTTCTCAGGAATTTGAGCTAACATTTTAGAAAGTGATGGTAGTTATATGTTCTCTGTTTATATTCCCACTTAGAGTATTACCAGACATAAATACTTATTCCTTTCATTCTTTATCTTTCAAGGCTGCTGAAAACACTCAGAGTGATACCAGTGTCTCATCAGGGGAAGCAAGCAAAAGAAGCATTCATTTTCTGCCTAATGAAGCAAAACTAGATCCTCAATTAGAAAACAAAGACTTGAATACCAAAGAAAAAAGTGATGCAGTTGTGGATGAAGATGATGAAGAAGGAGACTCTTTCTTTGATGATCCTATACCCAAACCAGAAAGAACTTATGGCTGGTAGGTAACATGAATGTTCTACATAATACCAGGCTTGTTTTGTCCTCAGGATATTCGCAAACCTTTGAGAGCTAGTTGTTATTTGATTATTTGCACATGTAAGTGGAAGTGTTTAGATCTATTCTGTAACATTTTTTTCTGAAATGTGCATTTCTCTGACTATTCTTTGAAATGCACAAAGAGTGTCCTCTGGGATCTCTTGGGATGTACCTTGAGTGGAAAAACCTGTATCACTTCAAGGTGCATCAGTGAGGCTATAGAATGTTCCCAGCCTATATCTTTGGTGGAATGAACAGGTATGAAGCACAGGCATCAGTGTTTCTTCTTGCAACAGAGCTGCAGTGGTGATCTGTACTAAAAGAAGTGGACAGTGACAGGGATAGTGCTTTAAATATCTGTATGGCTTTGTAAGGAGGACAAAAATCAGTATAAACTGGCTCCATAAACTGTAATAATAATAAGAGTTTCTCACAGCTGAGGGTTTCTTCTTACGTTACAACACCTGTTGTGTGCAGTAAAATTTTCAGTGAAGTGTTGTTTCTTCTGCGTATGCCAATTTTGCAGATGCACCTGAAGCCCATTTTTTGTTGTTCATCTGTGGAGTCTGATGACTGAAAAATATCATTTGAAACAGGAGCTATACAACAACTTTGTTATAAAACTGAAAAACCTATCTTTGTGTTATCATGTTGAGTTATCTTGAAGCCTAGTTTAGGTATCACTTTTGAGTAATGATGCAGGATTTTTTCATGGTGTTCTTTTTGCTGTGCTCAAATAATCAGAGAATTGCTCCCTCTTAGCAGAGATTAAGAAGACATTACAGAATCATTTGTAAGTCAGTTTGGAAGTAGCTCCCCTCATGTTGGCTTTCCCCTCCAACTATGTTGATAGTGGGCAGACCAGCATAAGCTTTTTTGTATTATTACTTCAGTAGATGCTTAATCTTAGAATGGGATCCTTCTGGTACAGCACAAAGCAATCATGCCAGGTAGACTAGGTCTCTTTCTAGTAAATGGATTCTTTGAGAAAAATTATTTGTAATACAGCTTTAGTCAAAGCAAATTTTTTTTCCTCAAAGAGCAGTGATTTTTCTCTGGAAAATATTGTTGGTATTTATTTTCTCTTTTTCTTATTGTTAATATCAAGATTACAACTGTATCTGATTGCATTTACTCCTCCTTACTCAAGGGCTCATTTAACTAGCCTTTAACCAAAGTAAGCATCATAGCAGGCAGTTTAAATGATAAATTGGGAAAATTAGAAAAGTCTGGAAAAACTCCTGCATAATAATATTTACTCATTTCTTATTGTTTGAATTTTCATATGACAAGAAAGAAAATTCACATTGAAACTAGGTAAACTGTATTTCTTTTAAAAGACCATCCAAGAAAGAGACTCTTAAATTATTTTTTAAAGTAAGCATCTTTTTTTCCTAGTAGGGAAATTCCCTACAGGAAGAACAATTTCTGAATTTTGTGTGTCTATAGTAGAGTCACAGTCCACCAGGTAGTAATTTGTAATGCATGATGTTATTATGATGTATGTACTCTAGTAAGGTCCCATAATAAGGTCTGCTGAATATGTTAATAGCAAATGAGCTAGAATCTGATTGTAACTGAGCTGTCTCTCCTGAATCTTTCACTTCTACCCTCCTGACAACTCCTCTAGAGGAGAAAAAAGAACATACTCTTCAGGCGAAATTTCTCTGTGGCACCTTGTGCTGGTGTGCCTGAGTCCCAAGGGGTAAATAAGTAGGAGAGGCATCGCTTGGTTTGCAACAAGGTAATTTCCTCATGGGAGCCTTACCCGTTCCTCTAAGATGAGTGCACTGGAGAGGAAGGGAGCAAGCAGTTACTAAGGAGAATATGAGAGATGATCCAAGTACTCATTGGCTCTAGATCTCTGACCTGTTGTTCAAAATTTTGAAGCATTTTAACGTGTGATGTTACACGTGATGTTTTGGTGATCTAGATACAATGAGTGATTCAAATGTTGTCCATTATTATAGGAATGGAATCACAGCAGCAATGTTCTGGCAATACTAAATGTGAAAGTCTTGGTCTCTTTTAATTTGTGTTTCTTCATCCTTTGCTTGCAAGTAGGATTTGAACTAGGTAGTAACCAAGTGAACTTAAACATGTGATAATGAGATCTATCTTCCTGTAAGTGAGACTGCTCTTAGAATTAATATCTTCATCAGACATAATATCTTTTAGTTGTAAAACAAACTAAAGTTCTGATTTATACCTGAATCTTTCTTCTTTTGGCTGCATTTACATGTGGGGATAATGAAAGGTCCCTTGATAAAAATAGTGATGCTGATGAAGGTGCAGGAGCTCTGTCTGTGGGAGAAGACAGGAGGAAGTCTTTGCATGGGTGAGAAAGTGACTTTCTTAGTGGATGTTGTGCTTGACACTTGTGTCAGTAAACTGCCTGCTGTTTTTAAGATAGCAGAATGAATAGTCCTGTCCCCTTGCTCTTTTTTGCTGTAATATTGCTTTTCTATTTTATGAAAATTTAATAATAGAAAAGAAATGAACTGCGCACATTTTACAGCTCTGTGGAGTACTTATTTATTTGGTTTGTTTTAGGAAAACTGAAGCCAGTAAAGCAGGAGGTCTAGCATCCCTTTCTGATGCACCGCCTCTAAAAAGTGGGTTAAGCTCCCTGACTGGTGCACCTTTGATAAAGGAGTCTGATAGTAAGTTTTCATGTGTTTTTTTCTTTTGATGATTGTAGAAGATATTTCCTGTAATGAGTGAGCTACACATTCAGATGGAAATGTGATAGAGTATGTGGCCCCCTTCTGGTTGTAATGTGCTTTAAAGTAGTGCTTCCTTCACTGACTGATTGCATATTGGTTTTGATATATTATGCTAACATTGGGACATTTTATGTTTTGGAGCATGAAATACTTATCTACATTCCTTTTATTGTGTGTACATAAAGCAGTTTTTATGAGTATGTAATTCTACTGCTCTGTTTTTAAGCAAAATTGACTTACTCCTTCGTATTGTTATCTTACATTATTTGCACCAGTGCTTTAGGGGTATTTGCTTTCATGTTGTAAAACCTGATCCTGAGTACTGGGAAATTATCCCTGTTTACTACTCGTGTTTTTAAATGTTATGAGTTCAGACCTGAAAATTTAATATAATATTGCCATACTATACTATAAAAGTATATAAGGTTGTTATAAAAAAACAGTTGTTATAAATGGTTGATTGGTATGTTTAAGTGGGATCTTATTGAAGAGTCGCAAGTCAGATTTCTGATATAAATGCTTTTGTTTACAGATTTGAATAAAAACTCTGTTTTGAAAGACCTGCGGTTGGTGAATGCAAAATTGGGATCACTAGAATTAGGTAAGTAACTGATGTTAGGAAGCTCTGATATTTTTAATTGTAAATTCTGGCCCAGCTTCTTAGAGCAATCTGAGAAACTGAAATACACATTGAACTAAAATCTTCAGCTTTTACTTCTGACATTCTGTTTGGCACCATTGTGAAGCTGACTGGAGTTAAGAGCAAGACGTGATCTAAAGGATACAGAAAAGGGATAACTGGTGTCTTGTGGATTAGTGTTCTACACATGGAAAAAAATTTGATTCATTCTGTGCAAACATTTGCTAATATCAAGTGATGAATTTTGTTGTCTAGGTTTCTACAAAAAGATTGGGTATATATTTGTGGTAAAAGATAGCCTGATAAGTATTACTGGTTTTCAGCTGCATATTTATTTGCCCTCCACATCTTTGAAAGTTGCCTTGTTAGCTTTAGGTGCAATATGAAGAAGATGTGACAGAAGAACAGTCAACATTCTTTCAAAATAGAGCTGCCAAGTATTTAAGTTTTGTATTCAGCAATGTAGTCAGCATCCTGAAAATGTATGTTCAGTTTTGAAACAGTTTGTGTTAACAGTATTGAGATTAATTAAGGACAAATATCTTTCTAATCTGCACAAGTAATTTAATCTACTCCCACTTTTGCTGGTCGTCAAACCATGTATTTTGGTGCAGGAATAGATTCTTTTTTTTGCATTTCCCAAAAAGAAAACTTGTTTGATTAATAGCTTTTAAAACTTATTTAGGAAACGGAGATGATGATGAATATGCTGATGACTTCAACAGGTAAGAGAAGGATGATACCTCAGTAGCATTATCGGCATACCCACTAGCATATTTGAATTATTTCATAATATTTCAGGCAGTCACTATTGCTGGAGTCTGTCAGTATTTCGGCATTCCTTTAAACTTCAATTTGCTATTTTAATAGGTTTAATTACGAGTTCAAAAACCAACGAACAGGTCACTTTTTGTATAGGGATAATGAGTTCCTTAGAAACCTAGTGCTAACTTTAAGGCAATATTTTGTTCATTTTTTGGGAAAGGGATTTGAGATTTTTTTCCTGAACCATGCACTTAACAGTGTTTTAACACTTTAATTAATGCTATTAGTCAATGATTTTGTTATATGCTGAAATATATAACTGGAAAGTAAAGCATTGTGGGTGCTCAGTAATAAATACTTAGCAACCTCATCCTTATGATGTGAAGGCATTGGTGTTGTAAACTGCATGACAGAGGCCTAAGTACTTCTCAGTATTTATCATGGTTTCATCAAGGTAGAAAGCCATTAGTTGTTATGGGGTTTTAAGTAACTACATATTTAACTTGCTAGGAAATGAAATCCCAATCAAATGTCAGGTATAAAGTGAATGTCATACCTGGGTGTTTGAAAAGGAAGTCTTATTTCTATGATTTTGGTTTTCTTTCTCTTTAGTACTAGTCACCGCTCAGAAAAAAGTGATATCAGTATCGGAGAAGAAATAGATGAAATTTCTGTGGGAACAGAAGAGTCAAATGCCAGTGATAAAGTATGATTATTTCAAAATTTTTGTTCTTGATAGTCTTCTTATCTTATCTTGACTTTACTTCACAGAAGGTTAAAAATAATGTGCCTGCATTATTTTTATAATCCTACATTACTAGGTAACATGCTAAGGTTGTATTATTTGTTGCATTCTGTATTTTTACACCTAGTCTCCCTGCCAAGTTAGATAATATAATGATTAAAGGAAAACACAACCCCACAACAGTTGTTCAGTAGCACAATTCACTGTCTTTTTCTAGGCATATAAAATGTATTTGAAGCTGGTTTAGTACCCAGCATACAAAAGTCTTAAACCCATTATCTCAAGATCTGTCTGAGCATCTCCTAAAGGATTATGAAATCTCGCTGAAAGAGCTTGAGGCCGAAAGGATAGGTTGCTATATGAAGGACTGCATGACATAATACTGTTTTTGTGGTTTCTGAGTTTGCAATTTTATTTGTTTTCTAGCTCGAAAGCATCACACAAGACCTTACCATTTCTCAGTTAAGTGACGTTGCAGATTATCTGGAAGACGTGGCATAGAATTGGACAACAAAATATCTTTCATTGTGCTGGACTAGAAGACTGCTGTGGACTATTAATTTCAGACAATCACTTTTTGCTGGAATGTCCACTCCCTACTCTTGTGCCTTGTGTTTCAAAAGACTGTAGGTGGAGAAGGCATTTAAATATTCTTTACAAGAACTAAATGAAATAGTGTGTTCCCATTTGAGTCTGATATCAGAATTACTTTCTTCATTTGGTTCAGCCAAACCTTTTACAGCAGGAGGTGGATTTTCCAAGCCGAATGTCCATTGCTGGCAGTGGGCATAATAAAAACCAGTTGATAGGAGAACATCAAGAAAGAGGCATGTGGCTTTATAGTGAACTTGCACTGTTATTTTAACAGTCTGTTTTTTGTTTTTTGTTTTTTTTTTAAAGATAACCAAAGCAAGAACCTTCAAAGGTACTGGTTCAACTTACACATCTTTTAACACAATTTTATCAAGTCAGCATGTAGTACATATTTATGGTAACTCTAGCCACAATACCTAATTACTCCGAACTTACTTGAAACTGCTCTTTTACAGACTCTTCTGAAAGTTGGACTTTAACTTTTGTAAAGGCATATCAAATTGAGAGTATCTAAACTCTTAAATCTAAATTTAGCCATATTTAGGAGCTAAATTTAGCACTAGACTTAACTCAGAATATTCTTGTTTAAATGTTTGTCAGACCATTGATGTTAAGACCTAAGCTGTTTTTATGTATGATAATTTCATCAATGTTATCTGTTGTTAAATCACGAAAAGTAATTTTATTCACAAATCATTAACTAAATCTTATTGGGTTTTCTTAAGTTTTTAATGGGTTTTCTTAAGTTTTTAACAGTGTGGTAATGCTTTGTGGAGCTTTTATTATTGAGGGCTCTTCATGTTCTGTAAGCTTACTTTCATTCTTGAAAATCCTTGTTAAGTAAAAATGAGCGCCAAAAAGTGAAACCACTTAACCCTCTGTTTTTCAGATTCTGACTGCTGTACAGAATTAAATGCAAATATTTAAAAATACCATACCGAAAATGTTACAGACACTAAGTTCTAGCTAAGAGCAAATTCTTATATTTTCACTATATACTCTTGCAAAACAGGGTCAGTAATGGAAACGTTGACAGTTCTTTAACAATACTGTACATGGCGCTGCTATAATATATAGGTCATGGACATTTGTAATACTGAAACAAGACTTCAAAATGTGCACTTTCTGAACATTGTGAACACATTTGGAAACTAGACATGTAAGTGAATATAAATAATTTAATTTTAACTTTTTTTCCTTTTTTTAGACTTTGTAATTTTTTTTTCAGGAATACTGTTGGCCTGTCATCAGTGATCACCACAGTGGAAGTAGCTTGCTAAGCTAAAGCCATTGGTTAAGCATAGAAAGCTGCTACTATAACTGGAAGCTGACTTAAATCTTTTTTTGCACTGGGCCAGCAGGCCTGGAGCAGTGCTGGGAACTTAGGCTTGTACATTACATAAATGATTTGAGAGGAGAGAAAAAGTGTGCCTTTTATTTATGTGCACCCCAAAATAGCCAGCAAAAAAGCATCAGAATATTTGGTCATGCTGTTAACTTTTAACTTTGTGCCATATTGTAGTAGCTGAACACAGGAGAATTTTTTTCACCGACAAAGTCCATGTGCCATAGACTTCAAATAGCAACAATGTTATATGATACAGCCTGTGTAAAAAATTCCTTTATGGATAGGGGAACCTGTGCCTCAAGATACTATATATGAAAAGTTTGGGTTGGTATTTTTTCTTTACTTTTTCCTTTTTTTTTTTTCCTTTTCTTTTTTCTTTCTTTTTTTAGGAGCAACAGCATATCTGAAGGAAATAAAATTCCACATGAACACCTGGGAACAATTGTTTTCTGGCATTTATTTTTAAAGTGTGTGGAATAAAGCAGAGGCAGTGTTGTTTGGTTTTTTTAAGTGTCTTAGAAAACACGATGTTCCATTACCTGTTAGCTGTAAGATATGTGGCAATTTATCATACCAAAAGAAGCAAAAAGTTTATTAAATTATTTCTAATTACATTTGAAGATGTGGCCTTTTCAAAAACTAATTACATATTTTAAGTGTTAACATGACTTTTGTTAGCAGAGGAGTGTGTTCTCTTACGTTGGGAGTTAATGGCAAGCCTTGCACTTTGGCTCTAATTAAAGGAAATACCAAAAAGTGGTAAGTCTCCGTGCTGTTCCTCCTGTGAGCTTTTATTGAATTGTGTATAATAATTCAAATTGTAAAATAAAGCTATTATGCTGGCTAAATTGTGTCTTTGAGACTTCTTGAACCAAAAATCTTAACATTTAGATGAATTCAGGAAACTCTGTGGGGTTTGAGGGTTGTCATGAAAAATGCTTGTTAGAGGTATTTAAATATAACTGACAAGTTAAGCTCTCTTGAATGCTTGTTTCACTGTACAATTCAAACCATAGTGTTTAGTATTTCACATTAGGCTTCTCCCTGAAGGACCTAATGTAGTTGAGTACCCCACCTCAGATGTCTGTTAGAATTAACAACCAGAGCCCTGTCATAAAAGATGGGAACATTTCTGTGAGCTGAGAAGCAAGTGTCTTAGAGGGGCATCTACGATTGCTCTGTGTAGTTCTGTACCAGCTAGGTCTGGTTAGAAATACTCTTTTTTATTAACAGAGCTGGTTGCATTTCAAAAGAATTCCTTCCACTGTGCAAAGCAATGCATAAGCATAGCAGAACCGTATGGCTGGCTGAGGAACTCCTGGCTGAGCTCATATTCAAAAAATTGTATGGAAGGTTGAAATGAGGATGGGGTAAAGGGATTACTGTGGAACTGCACAGGAATACAGGAATGGTACAGGGGACATTGAAGCTTGGCTGTAACTGAAGCTAGCAATGGGTGTGAAGGCAGCAGGAAGGATTTGCACAAGTGCGGCAACAGTAAAGAAACATGAAAAAATAATACATGAGTCTGCTGCTGAACAGAGTAGGTGACCCAGTAATGCAGGTAAAGAAAGAAAGACTTGAGGTACTGTTTCTTCTTCACCTCTGTTTCTGCAAGGTCTGCTGTCGGGCTTATTTGAAAGGTCATGGTGATCAAGGGACATTCCTGATATTATGTCTAGCTTTTAAAAAAGTGAGAAAAGAGGGTCCAGCATGCTACAGGCCAGCCAGTCTCACCTCAGTCCTTGGGAAATTTGATGCAAGTCCTCATGGCAGCCATTTCTAATGATGTGAGATAAATTAAGGTAATCAGAACAACCAGCATAGGAAGGGCAGATTGTGGCTGACCAATGTGATCACCTTCTATCATGGCTCTGAGGACAACAGTGGATGTAACTTTCTTTGGCTTTAGCCAAAGTCTCTCAAAGCATCTATGTAACCAAATTGAGGGCAGATAGGCTGGATAAAAAGAAGCTTTGCAGAAAAGGGCCTGGGGGCAGCTGTGAAAACCTGGAATCATGAGTCAGTGTGTAGACTGAGGGAAGTGGTTGGTTCCCCTCCTGGAGTATTGTGTTTAGCTTGGGCTCCCCCAGTACAAGAGATGCCAACAAAATAGAGTCCAGTGGAGGGGCTGGAGGATGGTGATGGGGCTGGAGCATGTCATCTGTGAAATGCTGGGACTATTCTCCCTGTAGAAGAGGAGGTAAAGGTGGGTGGTTAAGCTGTGGACTTCCATGCCCGTGATGGGCCATATGGAAGACACCTGGACTCTTCCTAGAGGTGCCCAGTGAAAGAACAGTCAAATTGCATTGAGAGAAATTCCACCTGCATACATGAAATAAAATCTCCAAAAAATCACCATGAAAATGGTCCAGGACTTAGATCAGGACTCGGAGAGATTGTGAATTCTCCATCACTGGAAATTTTAAAAACTCAAATGGACAGACCCAGACCCACCTGATTGAGCTTTGAAGTTAGATCTGCTTTGAGCAGGAGGCTGGACCTCCAGAGAACCCTTTCAATCAAATTATTTGATGATTCTATCAAAACAGACCTTTATATGGGAGATTAGTTATTATGGGGATAGACAGACTCCATCTGGCTGCCTCTGTGCATGCAAACTACCTTGTTTGCATGTAGAAACAGTTTTGCTGCAGTTTATGGATGTAGATGTTTACGTACATGCAAACTGTCCCACAGAGAAGGGCCAGCATTTGCAAATATGGTAATTTAACATTTACTGTACTGTAAGGTTTTAAACCTTATATCTTTGAAGAAATCTCTTGGAAAATGTGGACTTAAAAAGTGGTTGAATAGTGCCCTGTGTGAGTAACTGCAGCTAATCCTTACACTTGGGTCTATCTAAGTTTAAAAAGAAGCCGTAAGTTGTTTTTCAATTTCTTAACAGCTTTGGGTGTTTCGTTTCAATTGCTCAATGCTGTGTGGAAACCACAACAGATACAAGGTAGTAAAATCAGGTCATTCGCACAGTTCCCCTGTAAAAGTATCACATGCACCTTCATAGCAAGAAACGGCTTCTGCAGTGCCAAGTACCACTTTGAAAGAACCCAAGCTAATCCAGTTTGTACAAAGAAAATTAAATCAAGCATGTATGCATGAATTGAGAGTAGCTCAAAGAACAGTGAAGCTGAGAAGGCAATGGGTGGTAGCAGAGAGCAAGTTATGTAAAACTGACTGAAACAATAAGAGTGCTGGCAGCCAGCACCAGAATGGTGTCTTGGTGCAGGAAACTCCCTTTGCATTGACAAAAGGATGACTGAAGCTGTGCTTCCTTCCCTGGAGCATGTGGCTGTGTTCTTGATAGTGAAGCAGATACCAGCTTGGGCAGTTTAGAGCAGGGAGAAGCAGATGCAAGGATTAATTTGAGTTAAAAAAATATCTGAAGAAATAACAGCATTATGTTAGAGATTGAGGAACACTTTGGTTTTGAAGAAGGAAGTCATAATCCCATTTGTAAAGAAAAGTTTAGAAGGTGGACTTTAATTTTGGCTGTGGCCTGGTGTTGTAGGGAATATGCTAGAAAATCTGTTTGTTGGGAAAAGATTAAGAAATGCGTGCCTGTAGCGGCTCATATAGACTATATGATCTCACAGCTCTGGCCCACTGTTCTTTGTGCAACAGAAGTACCTTGTAACCCTACAGCTCTAGCAGTGCACAAAGCAGGTGCAGCTTATTTCAGTACAAACCATGTAAAGAGCCTGTGAAACACATGATTTTTAAAGGCAGCTTCATAATTGTCAGTCACTCCCCTCTCCCTTGTTAATGGTGGGAGTAGAACCACAAAGGTCCTCTTGCTGTGCCCCAGCTTGTTCACCACCACAGCCAGCAACAGCCCGTCCCACCCTGCCCTGGGCTCTGGCTGTGCTGGGCAGCTCAGGTTTGAGTGCGGTTCACAAAGAGGTGCCTGAGGGAGCAGGCTGTTTGTCTTTCTCTGTCTTCTTTGCTGAAGAGCAAAGAAGGTCTGGTTCAGGCTTAAGGTCATGTACCTCATTCAAGGTCTGGTTCAGGCTTAAGGTCATGTACCTCATTCAAGGCTCAGTTTGTACCCAGCATTGGCCATTCGCACTCCTTCGGACTTTCAATCAAAGGATAGAGTCTCTGCAGTACAGCTACAAACCTGAAAGAAAAATGGGGTCACAAATATAGGTCAATTACCCATGCATCACGGAACAGGAAATCTTGCAGAACAGCTTCTTTTTGTTTGCTCATCTCCCCATGTAGTTTGCTCTTATGGACTTAAGATACATTCTTCTTTTTTTTTTTTTTTAATTCAAACTCATGTTGTTGTATACCAATGCTCTTACTGATCACCAAGGATCTGTTGGTCAGGGGAAGCAAACTAAGCACTGTCCAGTTGCATGGTCTTTTACAATAAATAACATGTATACATTTACTTGTTCCTACTGCACTTTTGCTCAGGTTGACTGCTTTTTTTTTTTTCTGTACAGTAGAGCCAAATTCTAATGAATCATTTTATTGTTACTTCATCCTCTCTGTACTGCCTTGAGGGGTTGGAGAAGGGAATTGAAATAAACTTTCAACAGGCAAAACATATAAAAGAGTTCATTCAGATCAAGGAAAAATAATTGATTTGAGCTTATTTTCTCCCTCCTTGGTTCCAATAGTGCAGGAGTTCAAACGCTGAGCTGTGAGAAGCTGACACATAACTAAAGACAGACTCCTTTTCTGAGTACAGCTGCCCCTTCCCTCCCCTGGCTTTTGTTCTTAAAATGAGGGTTTAATCTAAAGCCACAGTAATCTGTTTTTTGCTACCAGCCTGGGGCACACAGATATTTGGAATAATCATTAGTGAACTGTGATCTTTATTTTAATAAATATGATCTTTCATAGAATTTAAGGCTCCAGCTCAAAAATGTGGCAATGCAGAAAAATCTCATGTGGTATAGAATTTGCCAGTGCTTTGGGAAAAGCAGAAATTTTGCCATTCAAGGTATTGCCCACGAGTGCAAGGTGCTAAGAGGATGCTCCCTACTGAGCTTTCTGTCTAGGAAAAGGCAGTGCCTTCTCTGTGCATCAGGTTGCACCGGGGAGTGGCATTTGATATTGTGATGTTAAACCTACTGAAGCGAGTAAGTGAAGGGACACTGATGCCTCTTAAGCCCTTGTCTTAACCTCTACCTGCAGAAAACTGCACATGTAGATAAAACTACATAAGCACAGATTTGTATCTAGTCTCAGTTAGGCATAGAAAGGAGGGGGATGAAGGATAGTGGAGGATCCTCTGCTGCACATTTGGAGTCTGAACTGTCAGTGGTGAGGCAGTGTGGGATCAGTACTGAAGTCCTGGTGGAGTATAGTGAGGCATGCTCAGACTGTGTCGTGCAGAGCTGTTCTCGCTCCCCAGATTTGTACAGTGGTGTTAGCAGGAGGTTGGCTATTCTTCCTTCCCATTAGTTTGATGGTTTGTGAAAAGGTAAAAACCTCTTATCTCAGAGAAGCCCTCCTCATTCTTTACTCCTGAGGCCTGTCAAACTGGGAACTCAGACACTCTAAGCACAGCATAGGTAGCCACAAGAGGGTTTCTTAAAAAATTCCTTGACTGATTGTTTCAAGCTCCTTCACTTTGTATATGATTTGTTTCCTCTTCCGTTTCCTTTCTGGCTTTCCTTTATTCCCTTGTGCCTCCAACTGAATCTTTCTCCCTCTGTTGCCCCTATACCCTCAATATCCCTGAATTGCCTCTGCTCATCCCGTCTCTTTCTTAGCTCCCAGAGGCACTTGTGTTCTGCAGTGACACCGTGAACCTGACTGACACAGTTGTGCTCCCACCAGCCACCCTGCTCACAGCACCAGGAGAAATTACTTT